TTTAGGGAATCAGCTCATAGTTCCTGAGGAGATAGTCAGCACTAACCTCAGAGCAGACCTTATGTTGTGGTTGGAAGAATGGTGTATTTTGTCTAGTTTACAGTTCCCTGGAAGGATGCTGTAGATACAGATGAGAGGAAGAAACTGAAATACACAGAATTAACCATGGAGGCAAAAGAGTGTAGCTGGAAAGTTAAAGTCTGCCTTGTGGAGGTTGGTTGTAGGGAATTTGTAGCCAAGTCAGCTGACTTGGGTATAAAAGGGCGGAACCTAAGACAGATAATTAGTAATCTAGCTGATAGGGCACCAAAGTCCCGTGAGTAGCTCTGGAGCAGAAGAAAGGTTGGTGAATTAGGTACAAATACAACTCCAAATCAGAAAAAGTTGGGACTGTATGTAAAATCACAATTCAAACTGAAAATAGTGATGTGTAAATCATCTGTGTCCTCTTTTATTTTGAAAAAAATATAGCAGCACATTATTTGATGTGATACATTTTATTGTTTGTTCAAAATAAACACTCACTTCAATTCTGATGCCTGTGGACAGTAAAACATTTACCACAGCATGATGTTGCCATTTCTTTTCATAACACTTAAAAGGATGCTCCTGATTTTGGTGATATTGTGCAGGTGAAAGAAAGTAGATCTAGAGACTTGGTTTATGTGTGATTTAAAGGACATATCCTGATCAAAAATGACTCCAAGATTCGTAACTGTAGTCCTGGAGGCCAGCGCTATGTCATCTAGAGTAATTATATGGTTAGACAGCAGATTTCAGGCCCAAGTACTGTTTTCAGAGTTTAGAAGTAAGAAATTACAGGTCTTCCAGGCCTTTATGTCTTTAAGACATGCTTAAAATTTGACCAACTAATCAGATGCACCTGGCTACATAGATAAATATAACTAAGTATCATCTGCATAGCAATGGAAATTTATGCTGTGGTTCCTAATAATATTGCCTATAAGGCGCATGTAGAAAGTGAAGAGAATTGGACCTAACACAGAGTCCTGTGGAACACCATGACTAACTTTAGTCTGTGTGGACAATCATTATTAACATGAACTAATTGGAATCATTATGATAAATAAGATTTGAACCAACTGAGTGCAGTTCCTTTAATCCCAATAACATGTTCAAGTCTCTGTAATAAGATGATGACAGTGATGTCAAAAACAGCACTGTAATCTATGAGGACACGTATAGAGACAAGTCCTTTGTCTGAGCCTAGGAGGAGATCAGTGGTGACTTTCACCAGTGCAGTTTCTGTACTATGGTGGACTCTAAAACCAGACTGAAAATACTCAAACAAATTATTCATGTACAAGCAGTCATATAATTGCTTGTCAAGGATTTTAGAAATAAAGGGGAGATTGGATGTGGTTCTATAATTAGCTAGAACACCTGGGTCAAGAGAAGGCTCTTTCAGTAGAGGTTTAATTACAGCAGCCTTAAAAGCCTACAGAACATAGCCTGTTAGTAGAGAGAGGTTAACCAGATCTAATATGGACGTGCTGATAAGGGGTAAACATCTTTGAACAGCCTGGTCGGGATGAGGTCTAAGAGACATGTTGATGATTTAGATGAAGCAATTGTTGAGGTAAACTCAGAGAGATCTATGGGAGAGAAGTAGTCTAAATATAAATGAGGTCTTATAGATGTTTTTAAAGCCACTGGACTTGATGGCACATCTGTGAATGTTGTGGGAAGGATTTGATAATTTTTTTCTCTAATACTTGTGATTTTTTTTGTGAAGAAGCTCATGAAGTCATTACTGCTGAGATCTAAGGGAATATTAAGCTCAACAGCACTAATTTTAATTATACATACCATCCCAACCTTTTTCCGATTTTGGGTTGTGGGTAAGTGATTTATAAATGGCAACATATGTAAGTAAGCTAGCATAAGAGGACAGGTTTAGTAAAGGTGGTTTATACATGCAGGAAGCTCAAGGCCTACTTCCTGGCGTTAGCATGAACAAGCTAACATGAAGGCATAGTAGAGGTTTGACTGGTTTGTTGGTGTGTAATACTAACAAAGGGTGATTTCTGATATAATATAAAAGGACACACTAGTCTGGTTAGTTATCTGGTGAGGTATTTGAAATGTTTAGTGGCTAGATCAGCAGTTGAAATGTTTGCTAGTGACAGTGACTTTTTGGTAACAGTTAGCCTGAATTAACCTGAGTAGATGAAGGGTTGTGTTGGGTGTGTGGGTGCAGGCAAAGATGGGGGTGGTTCTGGGACACTGGAACACACTGTTGAACCTTCTCAGTGTCGTGGGCCCAACTCAGCGAAACACCAGTTACTGAGAGGGTGCCCACCTGATGACCCAGTAGACTTGCCTTCACTCCTACATCCACACAAAACTTGTATTAATGTTTGTGATAATATAGTTACAGACTCATTAGAATTGTTAATAATCTTGGGAGAACAGTGTCAGTGGCTGGACAACTGAGTAGACCCTGCTCTCAGAGGTGACTGCCATTACAAGCCACTGCTTAACCTGAGCAAATACAATACAGATGCCGTGTCAAGCCACATATTTACAGTAGACTTGCCTTCACTCCTACATCCACACAAAACTTGTATTAATGTTTGTGATAATATAGTTACAGACTCATTAGAATTGTTAATAATCTTGGGATGACAGCATGGCCTGACACTCTCCTCTTTGGGGCCAAATAACAGGTAAACATCATCTAACTCATACACGGAGCTCCCATATGAATGCTGTTCATGTTGTTTGACATGGGTGGCACCAGGCGTGGCTACTCAGTTTCTGGGGATGGCCAAACCCCTGGCCACCCCTTTGGCTCCACCCATGGCTTAAGACCCAAACAGATCTAAAAGGAAAGTGAGCATAGCTTAGCACAAAGACTAGAAACAGAGGAAAACCACTAGCCTAGCTTTGTCCAAAAATAATACATTTTCATGCAGATAATATGTTTACTGCTTGTGCCTCCTACCCCGGTTAGGCAAAAAATCAATTAAAACTAATTGAACATCTGACTACGTTTGACCCTGTTAGACTTTGTTATAATCATGTTGGCCTGTTCCCAGTTCTCAAGAACTGTTTAGATGAGTACAGTGTAATCATAAGTAAATAAGAAACTGGCCAAAGGTACAAAAACAAATAGTAATAAACCAGAATTTTGTTTAAAATAGTAAACATTCATTGTATTGTAAGGTTAATGGGGCAGGTACAAATATCTTTACTCAAGAACTCTGCTGGACACAATATATAACAGGGAATGTCTCTACAGTGGCGCCATTGCCCAGACCAATCATCTTCAAGCTGTAATGGTTGCTCTCTGTAATCTCTAGTCCAGCCACTCTTACATGGCAGAGACTGATTCTGCTTACAAAGGAATCACTGCTGCTACAGGAAGTTTGGCCTCGAGCTCTCAGAGTTAGAATGTGTGGTCAGTTCCCTCCAGCGAAACCTATTATTCTTCTGCTCAGAGGCCAGAGTAGAGAGAAGTGTATCTCCTCCAGCACTCAGCCCAGCTATGTACATGTCTACTTTTCATGTGCCATTTTGTGCGATCTCAGTCAAGGGCTCATCCTTTCCTCATCCACTAAGTAATTATTAGTAGCTCTCTGATTGCCCCCCGCTGTCTGTGGAAGTGTTGGCGTTATAATTATCAGCTCCTGCTATGCACATGGGTATGTGTAACTTGCGCCTCATAATCATAAATGCCTTTAGGAGATGGACTCTGTATTTACTAAAGCAGCCTGGTAAGATCAGGACATCTCACCTGTCTGTGCTTCAAGTCAGTCATCTCCTCCTTTGGCCTCCTCAATGTTCTGCTGTGACTTGGCTCTGGTTGATTCCACTGCAGTCATCAGAGTTGCTCATTAATCTTACCAACACTCTGTCCCACTTCTCTCCATAATCTTCCTTCTCCTAATTTCCCTTATCGGTCACACTGACTTTCTTTTGTTTGTGTTTAGAAGGCTTACCCTAGGCTGTTAGCCAGAAGGTGCAGGCAGAGTACAGAGCGGACTGCGGCAGCTTCCCTCCATCAGTCATGAAGCCAGAGGTGGTTTATCATCCCAGGTTTAGGTTTTGTCTGCCAGCAACTGCTCATTCATTTGTAGGGGAAAGATTGTGCTGAGAGTATTGATGAGGAAGCTAATGCTTTTAAGTGTAAGATTACACTACATTTAATAATGATGTTACTTATTGCTGCTGGCACTGCAAACTGTCATTTGTCATGCACACTCCCCCATGTTTGTTCAGCCTGTGCAGAGCCTTTCCTCCTCCCCTCACCCCCTCCCTGTTTCATTTTATCACATTTCAGCCTAATCTCTTCCTTGTGCTAAAGTGTAGTGTTTCAGGGTAAACGCCACCAAGTCAGGTCCAGATATTTCATCAGCACCCCAGATGCCTTTGAAAGCATTGGGGGCTGTCAGGAGGTTTCCCTGTGTAATCAGTGATGCCTTATTAAACTCAAAATGTGCTCAAAATGTAACATCACAAACATCTCTCAGTGAATCAGTGAACAGAGTTTGGGAAAGTTCGTCACCTATTTTCAGAAGTATGCTTTTCAAAAAAAGAAATAAACTCGAGAAAATTGACGTTATAAAAACAGCTTTTAGCTGTTCTATATTAAAAAATAACTTTTCTAATAACTAGTCTAATTCTATTTTGATCTTCTTTGACTCATTAGATCTTGATAACTTCAAAATACAAACGGTGAGGAGTGCTGTTAATGTCCGTGAGGGCCAGGGTGTGGTTCTGTTATGTGGACCACCTGCACATTCTGGAGGTAAGTCAACAAATGCCAACACTGTGCCTTTCATTTTTATTTAAACAGAACTCATAGGAATTACCTTCACTCATTTCACCTGGCAACCTTTGATAAAGACTTTCTCCCTTACTCCAAACTTTATCAGTTTTACACACATTTATGTGTACACATGCTAATAATAATCATCATCTAATGTTGTGTTGTGTATATGGAAAAATACTAATCCTTAATCCTGGATGTAATTTTTTGACATTTTCTCCAATCAAAGCTATGTGTTTCTCAAAAAAATCTGAAGGGAATGGTTTGGTGTCTTAAGAAATACATTTATTTGCTTTCTTGCTGAGAAGTAGATGAGAAAACTAATATCACTGTCATGTGTTTGTTAAATAAACTACAGCTATTATAGCAGCCGGTTAGAATTAGCTTATCACAAGAACTAGAAACATGATGAAACAGCCAGACTGACTGTGTTGAAATGTGACATTATCTGCTCTCTGTTGTTATTCCAGCTTCCAGCTGTGTGGTTAAAGTATTGTTCTGTAAACTAGCTCCATCTGTGAAGATTATAAGAGCCACAGGTAGTCATTTCAAACAACCAGCCACCAAGGACCTTTTGTCACAGATGACATCAGAAACAGTGGCTGCTAAACTGAAGTGGACATATTCTTTTGCACGGAGAGAGAGTGGGACAAAGAAAGAGCAAAACCCAGGGTTAACATCAGTTTTGCTTTTTGAGATGGAGAGTGTTAAAAGCAGTCAGAAGACTCAAATTTTATTCAGACGTGGTATTCTTCCTTCTGGATATGTGTTAACTAACAGGTTTGTTTTGGTAACCTTAGTGACCTAAGATAGTCTTGATTTTTCTTTGTATTGAATAAATATGATTTTCATTTGGCAGAAACTCAAACTTTGTGTAACAGTAGTGCTGTGTGTCACATTTGCAGTAACCAGAGTGCTCTACTGGGCTGCAATTTAGCTAACACTAGCGTTGGACCAGAGGTTACCTATTGTACAGGTTGTTGCAACCAGGCATCCATTCATGTTGTAGTTTTTGAAAACAGGGGCAAAGAGTGGTAAGGATTGTTTAGTGGTGCAGTTTTGAGTCCCACTAGACTCTCTAGTGACTGAAAAAAAAATTAGGTAGAGAACCAACTGCTCTTCTGAGAAGGCACAAATATATTCTGCAACTGAGAGGCTAGAGATATGAGTTATACTGCTTAGTGCCACCCCTACACAGAAAACTGAGAACAGGGACAATGGTTACTGCCTAGCTTGTCTCTACCTCTTGATGCAGTAGCTTGCACATTGGAACAACCAATTTTTTTCACAAGGGAGCAGTGTATTGTACAGCTGGTCTATGGGATAATCGGTCAGAGTACTGACTGTGAAATATGGTTTGACAGCTTTCCTCTCTGACATAGGCTTATATGCAGTTGGCTGCTGCAACCATAGCCTTATTGTGTTTTCTCACATTTTTTGAAGTGAATGAAGGTAAAGCAGTGTGAACCTGCTGTCCCTTTCTTTCTTTCTTGCCCTGTTGCTCCCTCTCTGGCTCTCATTCTTTGTCTCCCTGTTTTTCTTTTTATAAAATATCGATGTGCTACGTGCAGTAACCTTGAACTTCACTGAGCTTTATATAACACCTATAAGGCATTCCTTCTGGTTTTCTTTGCGCTTCATTGACTCTGAATGCAAAAGCTTCTTCTTCCATTACCACATTCACTGCTACAGCTCTCAGATATGATAAATTTAATTCAATATTGTCACAAAAAACTGATACTGCTATACTGTGTGACTTTTGTATTTCAACAGAGACATTTGCTACTTAAAGGGCTTTTTGTGCACAAGTCCCTTTTTAATTGTACAGTATAAATGCTCTTGTGTTGTATTCCTAATCTTTCCTTGAGTTACGGTTGCTTAGCAAAATTCTATCACTGCTCATTACAGCCACATGGTGAAAACATTGGTTATGCTGACTCTGAACTATGTGTCTCCTGCTTGCCTACTCAGAAGGAGCTTTGCGCCCAGCTTGGACGTTAGATCCCATTCATATATACCTTTTGCCTCTAAGCCCCTCATCTTCAAAGTGATAGATTACATAGAGCATCTCCTCACTCTTCCAAATCTGTGCAGTTTGTGCTTCTCAAAATGACACAGTAATTCATCATAGCAGTTCTCTCCTTTCTTTAGGTAGACCTGCTGCTTGTAAAGGGGCATCACAACACAATCCTACTTCCAAAAATCAGTCTATCATCCCTCACTCCTTCTATCCATTCATTCATGCCATAAACTAAGTTACTTTTGGACTTGGGGAATGGAGGCCATGTGTCAGGGATGGGCCACTGGGCTTTAATACATTTTTTTCACTTCCTTTCCTTAGGTCTCTCATTTCTTCGGCACTGATAGCTATTACATTTGCCATGTCTTGCTATCTCTTCCCTAGAAAACTGAGAAAAGGGGAGGGAAATGACATGCTAACAGTGGGGTATGTTTTTTTCATTTGAGCCATCCCAGCCATAGAGGACGATGTACCTACTGTAATGTATGTGGAATTAGTCATCCGCAGCAGGAGATGATTGCACTACTGCTGCACTAAGTTTAATTGTCATTGTTCTGTTCTAGATCTGACATTTGCATGGATCTTCAATGAATACCCGTACTTTGTCCAACAAGACAGCCGTCGCTTCATCTCTCAAGAGACTGGGAGCCTGTACATCGCCAAAGTGGAGCCATCAGATGTAGGAAACTACACTTGTGTGGTGAACAACACGGTCACGAAGGAGAAAGTGCTCAGCTCTCCTACACCACTGGTGCTCAGAAATGATGGTAAGTGCCTTAAAATTCTTGGAGCCTGTTGGGTAATCCCATTGTCCACTAATGTACAGTCATATAAGTTTACCTTTATATCATTCATCACTCCTTGTATAAATAAATGTGAGCCTGGTATTGGAAATAACTTATTTATGTTTCCATCCATGGTTGTGAGTGGTCATTAACCAGCAAGCATCAGTTTGGTGTTTCATCTTAGAGCTTAGAGCTGAGTTAAAAGTCTTTCAGAGAAAATTTGGAATATTGGTGGTTTTAATTAAGGTGTCAAGCTTAAAGTTATGGCATGATGTGGGTAAAATTTGGACTAGGACATGCTGACAGCTCCATTCAGCTGCTGTCTGTAATTTACATTTGAAAACTGTCGAGCTACCTGTCTGAGATTGACATGAGGCAACCTAGAGTGTTTATGTGCAAGAATAGTGGAAACAGATTTGCCACAGTTTATTTTTTTATAATCAGCATAAAAATACAACCCAGACCTTATTCTGTTAAAATGGCACTGAGTTGATACAAGATGTTTCTTCTTCCATGCTGAGAGCATAGTATCGGAAGCTCAAATGAAAGTTAAATAGCTAAAGCCACTGGCATGTCATTATATCCAGTGAAATCAGTAGCCGCTGACTTAACCTTTCATTTAAGAATGCTTACTAAAATATTGTTAATTATCACCAAATAATTGTTGCAGTTGCCGTTGTGTTTTTCTTCTCAGTCGCACAATGCGATCAGCACTGGAATTCTGTTCTCCTAAAAAGCACCTTTCAAAAAAGGGTTTATGTTGTAAATAATGGTTTAATAAAAATGATTTAACACTTTAAAAAGTTTTATAGATCAGTCTCATTCTTAAAAACTTTTGGGTTACCAGGCTGTGAATAATCTCTTTGGCTGATTTTCTTTCCCCTTCTCCAGCAGGATACGTAAATCATTTGTTACCATTATTTGTTACTTAAGCCATTCATTACAAAAGGGTGTCTTTTTAGAACATGGTAAAGTGTTGTTATTGCAGTCTTTAAGTGTGATCCTCCATCCAGCCATTATCCATTATTCAAATCAAGCCAGTGCTTGGTAGCATAAAATGCCAGAGCTTTCATGGGTTGAGTTATAGCTGGATTTACTGCCATGTTGCATCAGTCGTAAACGTTTTTATACATGAAAATGTCACACATCATTACTAATTAAACACTGAGATAGTAAAGATATGAATTATGTTAAAGGAGATGCATTTCCATATTCTGCATGTTTTGTGTTTAAAATGGCCACAGTTATTACAGCTTTGCAGAGTTTTTAGTGACCTTTCATCTGAAAGCATGTGAATGACCCCAGATCAGCTCTTGCTCTCAGACAGTGGGATTGTAAGTGGTAATAGCAAAGGGCATACTGGTATGTCTGTGAAGAAGTCTTTGACCCAGTATAGTGATGTGAATATAAATAAAGTCATAAATGAAGTCACACTGCCACAGGAGATAAATCTCTACTAAGGAAGACTTCTCCCTGATGTGTTCTCTGAATCTTTTATAAGCTACCTCTGATTTTTTTTCAACTTTACCAGCCCTTCAGCAGTCACTTTTGCTCCATATGTATGGTTTTGCCTTAGCAATCCCAGCATGTTACTGTGCTGCCTTTCAGCAAACCTTTGTGCAATGTATGCTGTTAATCATTAACGTAAAAAACTTTTCATCTATTGTCTGCCTTTTGTAGGAGTAATGGGTGAGTATGAACCCAAAATAGAAGTTCATTTCCCCGATTCAGTTCCAGCCGCGAAGGAATCAATGGTGAAACTGGAATGCTTCGCTTTGGGAAAGTAAGTCAGCCCCACTGTGTGTGTGTGACATAAGCTGTAGGCTCATTCATGCATGAATTAGTGGTACTCAGGATGATTAAAGGATGCACAAGCGTAACATTACTCATTCTCAGATTCATTAGTCCAAAGGAGAGCAAGAAAAGAGAGCAGATATCAAAGTTCTAAGAGCATCTGAAATCTGAGAAATCACAGTCTGGGAACAGTAATTCACAAGGCTTTTGCTTCAAGTACCGTTCTTCTGTGCTTAACTACACTTTGATCAAAGCCACTGACAGTTGCCATCATGGGAACTTTTTGTTCCTCTTTTGCAGCCCTGTTCCAGAAATAAGCTGGAGGAGAACCAGCGGTGTCCCTTTCCCCAGCAAAGTCAAAATGAAGAATTCAAACGCTGTCCTTGAAATTTCTAATTTCCAGCAGGAAGACGCAGGGACCTATGAATGTATGGCAGAGAATCGAAGAGGCAAAAATGCTGTGCGGGGTCGTATTTCATTCCATGGTTAGTGAACAATTTCAAATTGAATGATAGTGAACACAAGGAGATTTGACTGGTAACCACACGTATTTGTGCAGGAAGCATGCAGATGACCAGCAGCTTGACTTTTACAGTACTTGTTTGACAGAAAACATATTTGTCTGTAACCTGTGGGGCATAATATTGCTGTGAAATTACAGAATAAGCTATGGATCCTGGCTGTAAAAGTAAAAAGTCAGTATTCATATCTGTTTACCAACCTCCATTTTTCATTATAATTTTAATTCACTTGTTCAGTTTAAACTTTGATGATTTAACACAGGGTTGATAGCTTTATGTTCTGGAATACCTCTCTTTACTAATCTACTGCTTGTATAATTAAAACATGTTTGAAAAGGTAATCCTCTCATTTATTCCAAGCTAAACCTCGCTGGCTGCAGACAATGACAGACACAGCTTTGTCCATCGAGGAAAACCTCTTTTGGGAGTGTAAGGCCTATGGAAAGCCTAAACCATCCTTCAGCTGGCTGAAGAATGGCGAGCAACTGGTGGCTGAGGTATGGAGATCTGTTTGATTTCTCATTGTAATGCAGACAGGAGAATTAAAGGAAAACTCTAAATAAAGGAACATATTAGATATGGTTCAAGGAGTATGGAAATGGTGTGAATCATATGCTGTGGCTCTCTGCACGGCTCCTATTTATCAAGCATCACAGAGTAGGAAATCACTCCTAGCTGCAGGCCCACACTACAGTATTTTATAATCTTAACTGATTTTTAAAACATGAGAGATCACAGCCATAACAACAGCTTTAACAGACCCTTTCACATTTTAATCTTAAGAGCACACACACACACACACATCTGTGGTCAAGAGGCAGGACCACAGATGGTTTCAGAGACAGGGACCAGGCATCCTACAGAAACTTAGGTGATCAAACATGACTTCAGAACAAAACAAACATGGGGGTGGACATTTCAAGCAGCAGCGCATGAGTGTGCTAGAGAAAAAAAAGAAGAGGAAAAAAACAACTTGTGGATGAAGCCTTGGCTGAGAAGCCGAAATAAACACGGGTTACACATTTTGCAGCACGAGCCGGAAAAAGGTGAAGAAATGAAGAGGCTAGTGCAAGCTAATGCTACGAGCAGTTGTGACACCTCCTGGCCAGCTCGTTGTTATTGGCTGTAACGGGCATATGGTCAGGATTCAATCGCTGTTGCCCCCACACTACAGGATTCCAAGTCATAAATATCAAACATGCTTGATACTTATGATTCCGGGGCCTCTGATCCTGTCAAGGCATAACAATTAGGTCGTTCAACACCTTACACCACAGGATCATTTGGCCCGAGAATCACTTTGGAGCAGCCTCACATCAGGGAATGCCCCCACAATTGTCAGGAGCGGCAAATTGGGCTTATCCTGTAGTGTGGAGCCGTCTTAAGAGCATTGTTAAATTAAAAAGTCACCACCTATCACCACCAACATGTATGTAACTGGTTAGGAACTGCCAGAGAGTATGTGCAGATTCTTTGGGAGGAGAGATATTTTGCTCACACGTTATGACACTGAGCTCATGAAAAGATACAATATGAAAAGAGTTGACTAGTACACCTGCTGTCTCCACAGAAAGCAAGCTCATTAAAGCTTTACTTTGTTGTTTAATATTCACTGGAAAGGTGCAGCTTTGCAAAAGTGGTGATTTGTTACAACCAACAAGTTCAGCCATAATAAATCAAGCTTTGATTGATCTTACAGTTGCACTGATACTGTGATACACAGATTTCTTCCGAACACAGTGTAGAAGCAAAAAAAAAAAAAAAAAAAAGGGCAGCTGTGTTTATGCAAATTGCTAGATTTACTAGATTTGTTGGATGGCATACACATTAGAATCATTGCCCCGAGCAACGACAAGGACACTTAGCTTATCATAGCATTAACACTCAAGTGGGAGAGAATTATATGATCTTCCATTTAGTGGCCAAATGGAAGGATCCTCGGCGAGTGTGGACTAAAACTTTTATTTGAAAACAGGCATGCTCACCCTGTATACACAGCTTTATTATAAGGATTTAGAAAAACATGGGCTAGTGCTAATGAGGATGATTTCATGCAGCTGGGTGACCAATATGAGTGCCTTTCCAATAAATGTAGTCTATAAACTACAGAAATAAAAGTGGTATAAAGCATCTTTTTGTTATCAGGTTTTTGCCTGTACACAGTAAAGCCTTCACTGCATAAATGGTGCTGATTTGTGGATTTCGGTTGCCTAAAACTACAAACCTCAATTGTCAGAAAAATTACAACACATCTATTTAATGTCTACTTTGTGACTCTGAGTGTCATAAAACAGTGGTATCACTGAGTTCTCCTCCCTGAAAATGAGAGTTGGATTCTGTTAAGTCCTACTCTGAGGTCTGTAAGAGTGTTTTTAATCTAACTTTCAGGATGATTCCTATGAGTGATTCTGAGATGCTTGATAAATGAAGGCCCGGATTTCAATCCGACTTAACATGTAGGATATTTTGCATTGCTTGTTAGACAGCACTTTCCCTCACCATCATTATCAAAAAACCAAATAAAGAAATATCTTTTACAACTATAGTGTACATTCTCTACATCTGGATCAAAAAAGAAAAATAAGCTATTTATAAATTTGTCTGGATACAGTAAATGCATGTTCTGTATCAGAATTGGCTATTGATGGCTAGGATCAGTCTCCCATTTATCTTCCACTTGCTATTGGCAGAACTAGTGTAAAATAAAAGCTGAAATATCAGAACTTATCAGTATGTCATATGTCTGTGGATACATTATCTAGATAATGGCATTGAACCTACAGGACTTGGCTTTTACACTGGGTATGAATAAGTGTCCCCTGCTGCAATTGGCTCCCATTATGCATAAACTTTTAATAACCCATGTACAGTTTTTATATTGGCTGTTCAGGGCAAATAAACAGATCCAAAAGAAAAATAATATCAACTCAAAAAGCATGATACTTCATTTCCCACAATCCCTTCAGTATCATCTTTCTGTGAATGCCCATGTGTATCAAACTCCACACTTCATTTTTTTCTTAAGGTTGTTCAAACCCCAAAAGACATCCTCAGGTATTTGTTAAACTTGGCGAGACTCACAGAAGTGGTGATTATTATCAGTCCTCATGATAACTAAACAGACCTTTTGTGTAAAAATCAGTGGAGTGCACCTTTAAATTAGCAGCCAGAGCAAAAAAGTGCAAAAATATAATATTTTGTAGAGTATTGGTCACTCCAAAGGTTAGCTGTGTTTATGTGATAAAAAAAAACATTAATATATTGTGTTTTACTAAGCCTTACTGACCATATGCACTGTACGAAGCCACTCCTATTTCACTGAGGATCTCTGACTGGCTGAGTTAAAAACCACTCTAACTCATCATCCAGATTGTGTGATCATTTTTCCAACTAAACAACTACAGAAAATAAATGACTTTTTAATATACTGCTGGTGCTATTGTCAACATTTCTTCTGTGTATCTGAGCTGCAGGTTAGCTGTTTTCAGCACTGCCTCCTCATCTCTTCCCCCATTTCCAAGCTGAACATACGTAGAATGCCACAAGGCTCTTCAGGGTTTCTTCTCTTTCTCCTCTCCTGCTGTCTTCCTCCCTTCATAGTGCACCAGTAATTGCTGCTGTGCCTTTGGACATAATACACTGGCCTTGCAAGGGATATGCAGAACTGTTTCTCTTTCCTCCGCAGGGCCGAGTACAAATCGAAAACGGGGCCCTTTCCATAGCTGTGCTAAACCTGTCAGATTCCGGGATGTATCAGTGTGCGGCTGAAAACAAACATGGCATTATTTATTCCAGTGCCCAACTAATGGTGTTAGGTAAGATTGCCTCCCTCCCTCTGCTTTTATCCTGCTTATCTGCTTGTGCGTTTGATCATCTCCTAAGGTAAAAATCAGCAGCCTGCTGTCACTCTCCTTAGTAATCAGTCTGCTGTCTCATTTGATGTCACTATGGGCTCTGTCAGAAAAAAATATGAATCTGATGGGTGTCTCATTTTACTTTCAGTCCTTTCTTGATATTGATTTGGATATTACAATGCACTGCTTTATGGCAGTGTGTATGCTTTATCATGTAGATGAGTATTGATTCATTTGCAGAGCTTTGATGACTTCTATCTGACTGACTTGTTGAAAAATTCTGTTCTGTGCTGATATATGTGAGGACACTTGGGGGTCCAAATGATAGCTGACAAAATGTGATTATGAGCATAGATAATAGCTGTAACCTCTGCGGGTTGGAGGCATTATAAGACTGGATGTTGTGTGTATCTGTGTAGTTGAAGGGTGGGGTGGCAGATGGGTCCACAGTCGATTTCAGTTCAGCACAGTCGATCTGAAAAACTTCAGGATGCCTATATGTTTTAATCTTATATCCTTTCTCCCCCCCACCCACACACCACACAGCTTCACCTCCCAGTTTCTCCAAAAGTCCGCTGAGGACCTTCCTAAAAGCTCGCTCAGGCAGCAACGTCACTCTTGAATGCAAGCCTCAGGCCTCTCCCCCAGCAATTAGCCTGTGGAAGAAAGGGAATGAGATCCTGCAGAGAACTGAAAGGTAGGATAAAAGTCCAAATGCATATTCCTTGCAGCTTTCATTCATATTCATTGCAAATGGACTTGTTTGAATTGTGTATCTGGCATTTGTGCAGATGCATAGAAGGAAAGGCTAATGAGGACAATGGGAGCAAGTCACCCACCAGGAAAATTGCACATTGCTAATATACTGTGTGCACACTGATGTGCAACTGGCTTGCTTTGAGGGATGAAGATGCTACATGTTCACATCAACGCTGCATGCATTAAATATTTAAAAAGACAAAAAGTCTATCTGATTTTAGATAGAGAAAGTAAAACTGAAGCTGTTGCACCTACTGAGGAAAAATGTTCTACTTTATCATGAGCAGAATTTCATTCATTCATTCATGAAAGAAGCTGCAAAGACAAAAGCTTTGAGCAGAAATGTCTCACTAGACCAGAAACTCCAAACACAAACACAAAGCAGAAAAGACCGAACTTCAAGCGACACTTACAGCAACATAAAGAGGTGCTTAATTTAGTTTGTTGTGCTTCTCTGTCTGATTTTATATCGACTACAGCAGAAGCTGAATTTGAGCTACTGAACAGACTTCACACAATACTAAAGAACTGATTAAAGATGGAGAAGTCCAAAAGAAAATCTGAGGCAAGAAATGACACATTTGAGCAATCCATTTGCAGACTTCTCATCATCCCGATTAGAGGGAGAAGAAAAGCTTTGGCGGTGACTGTATCTTGCTGCGAGTCAGCACATGCACATTAAATATTTCTATAGCATGCACACACACACACCCACACACACAACAAGACAGACTGAATAAGAACAATTCAAACACAGACATCCCAGCACACTGAAAAATGCTTAACTGTGTGCTGTTTGAATTGCTCCCATGCTGCAAATTCAAAAGGAGGTGTGAGAGAGAACAATATGAGCAAAGCAACTTGTCAAAACAGCACTGAAATGCCTTAGTTGGCTTCAGATGGAGAGCTACAGCTCCAAGTGCAGAAAATTGGTAAAATTCCCCAGCTGACTGACATTTGGCACACTGTATGTAAAGTCCACACACCCTTTCAAGGTGCACAGCACTGGATATATGCTCACTGGATGGGAGATGTTTACTCATATATGCAGTCATGCTGTAAATTGGAACAGTGTTTAACACGTGTTAACAATTTGTCACTAAAAATCCCATTGGTTCAAGTTAGTTTGGCCCAAATTATGAAAAGCATACAGTACTGTACAGTATGTTCACAATTACCCCTTGTGGTGTCTAGTCATTTAGATAGTGTTTGTTTAATTTAGAGCTATCAGTCTCTGAGCTATTCGCCTCCATCCCACTGTCCCTTGTTAGTTTTGATGATCTACAGAATACACTGTCAGCAGTTTTCTTCTGGACTATTTCTCTGAGCTCCAGTGAAAACAGTTTACAGTGAGGAATGTAATTTAGACATCGTTTCTGGAAAGACACATCACTATTAAATTATTTTCTATGTAGTTTGTCAATTCTTTGAGAGCCATAATCAAATTCTGATCACCTTCATTCCACTGGACACAGAGGCAGAATTCTGAGAAGCAGGAATCTGGCCAAAAACCGGGCAAAACAAAATCACAAATGTCTGTTCCACTTCAGGCAAGTGTGAAAATATGTTGCTTTCTTTTTATTTACAGCAAGACTGTAAAGCATTTGAAAGAAAATTCTGACACATGGCTGAGACTTTGATTCATTAGTGATAAAACACACCCTTGCTCAGTTCAATACACCCAGGCATTTTACTGATGCAGCCTATGACCAAGCACGGTGACACACTGGCTGGCTTTGGTCTGGTATTACCAAGTATGTCAGCGTTTAATGCTGTTTTCAAAAGATGGCTATTAGCAAAACAACAAGCCAACAATTATATCCTGTTCACTATTATTCACTTTAACTTCATTCAGCTATATTAATGAGAGGACAGGTTTTTAATCTTTATCACTCATGTATGTTTATTTCCTGCAATTTTTTGATGAATTCTCTTGAACATCGTTGATTTTTCTAAACTTTTCAATGCACTCTTTTCCAGGGCATTGCTTGTACTTATGCAGCGCTGTACTCTGTTATGTGTTTGAGCATGTCTTGGGCTTTTTATTAAATCAGTGACCTCCCAGCATGATAATGGATCCTTTCTGACCTTAGCCACAAAAAGCCTGTAAAGCACATTTGTTTTATTCCTGGAGTTATTCAGCAGTGCTGTTTGTAAATTATTACTTCATTCAGTACTGTGTCCATGAGGTTAGCTTACCACTGAGCTGGGGTGTGGGGTCACCGTTCCTGCTGCTAACCTACCTCAAGGAACTTTGTCAGTAGGGAGCTTTTAAGCACCAGGGTCAAAGAGCTTTTTCAGAGATTTTTTCCATTTTCAGAAGAATGGTGGTTTTACTACTACTGTATGGTAAACCACCATGCAGTAAACTTACTACATGAAAACTAATTAAAAAAAATGCAAAGATATGAAATATCACAAAAAAAAGACCACAGATGGTTACAAAGTTCACTTTAGTTAAACTGTACACTCTCTATCGTAGTCAGTGCAGTAAACAGCTCTTCTGCTTCCCTCAGGATTAATTTGCTTCCCAATGGAACATTAAAGATCACCAATGTAACCAGACAGGATGCAGCCAGCTACACGTGCATCGCTAAGAACCAGTTTGGAACAGCAAGTACAACTGGAAGGCTACTCGTCACTGGTGAGTCCATCTTTTCTCCATCAACAACTTCCTAAAAAACAAGATCACCTTTCATTGAACTTTCAATAGAGGCAAACCATTTTTTGTCCATGTATGACTTGAGGATAGCCTAATTACAGCCAAGCTTATTGTTTATTGATATGGCTGGTTTACATTATGCAAAATAGAAGGATTATCCATTATGCTTGATTTAGTTAAAGGTCATTATTTATTACTGCAGTGACACAACACATTTATGTAGTCCTCCAGTTTAATATGTTGTGTGTCTAGCCACCTGACTTATTTTTCTCATTAGCTTCTATTCTTCTCATGCCCTGACAGTTGGACCATTTAATGTAATAGATTTTAATTAATGTGACCTTTCCTCAACATACTCTGAGGCCTCCAATCCACCACAGCCACCAGTGGGAATGTGCTCTTGCCTCTGTAATCCTGCTTCAAACATTTTTTTTTTCAAAGTGATCCTGGAACATAAAGTGCAAATTGGAGATGTCATTAAATGTTGCTAATGGACAGGCTTGGAATTTAAGTGTGTATTAAAATCAGACAAAAAAAAATCTACACACACACATCCATGGTTCATTTAATTCTTAATTGTGGTGACATGATTTAGCCAAGAACTGGAGAAGGATGGAGGTTGCAGGGGTCACAGTGGTGTTAAAGGTTCCTGTGGCAGAGAGATTAACATGCGTACGCTGTCATCTGTTGTCTGGCCAGAGCCCACCAGAATCACCATGAGGCCTACTAACATGGAGATTATTGTTGGCGAGAGCATCGTGTTACCCTGCCAGATTGCCTGCGATCCAGCTCTGGATGTCTCTTTCTCATGGGCATTCAACGGCCAGCTCATCGACTTCCAGCATGACAGTGATCATTTTGAAAGAGTGGGCGGGGTGAGTCATCTCAGCCATTAAACCCAGCTACTTTCTGCCTATTCTGGGATTAATTGGGACATACTGTGTGATGTGCAAGGGTGCGCTCCAGTGCCCTGCTGAGGGCTTCTTAGACACCAAGCAGAGAAATGTACGCCAAGACTTGTCCATTTGAAAAGTTTCCCTGTGGTTGTGGACAGAATATCAAAAAGATAGAGATATTTATGACGAATAGGTTTCATTCTTTCATTCATATGCTGTTACAGCCTCAGTGAATGGCATTGTCATGTCATTAAATGGGATCCCTACCTTTTGCATTGGCTGTTAGAGCTGCCATGTGTTATGCTTCTAAAACTATATTGGTGAAATGGCATTTCGATCATACAGAGGGTCTTTGTTAATAAAGTCTTTATACTTTTCATCCCTTTGACTTCTAATTCTCGTACCTCAAGGGAGAACATTTTCTTATCATCTCCCTCTGCCATAATTGAATTTGCATACCTATTTATGAATCGTGAGCCTCGAAATAATTAAGTAATGAGCTGGCTGGCAGTCACCAAGGGTGGCCTGGCACCAGTAAATGTTCATTTGAAATCGTTACGCCTTGAAATAATACTGTAAGTGATGACGCTTTGTCCCTTTATTTGTTTTGATGAAGGGCAAAGTCAGTTGTTCAGTTGTACCTTCCACACTTTTGCTTTTTATCATGTTATTTATCATTCAGTGTCGACACTCTGATCACTGCCACGCGCATCTTAAAGGCTGACTTTGTATCTGAATGACTTCACAGTATTATGGACAAGCCAAATTCACACTGTACCTCTACGACTGTAAAAGGCAATTACTAATGACATTGAACTGTGCTTAGGCATATAATGAGATATATTTTTCATGGAATCTGTTTCCCCTGTCCAAAGAGATTACCAGCCCCCTACTCAACAGCTTCTGATGAATGAATTAACATAATTAAAGCAAATCTGCTTCATCACCTCTTTCCTGCCAAGGCAGGAGGCCTTGCTCTCAATCGTAAGCTCCCGGGTCAGCCAGGTGGCGACTGACATTGGAGACAAAATCAGACAATGGCAAATGGCTTGAACAAACTGTCAGGTGAAAGGAGAGGTGATGAAAGGAAGAGGAAGAGAGAAAAAAGAGGAGGAGAGGTTGTCTCCTTAGCTCGTAGCTGCATAGAAGTGCCATTCAGCTCGGTTCTGCTTTGTCGGATGCTACAGAAAGGTGGAGATCCAGGGGCATTCATGCCCAGTTGTTGCAGAGTGGAGCTATGATCACCAGCCAGTGGAAGTGATGAAATCTGCTGTGACTGCAGCAGGTCTTAACCTGGCTCTCCTCCAGGGGACTCATTTCTAAGGCAACAGACTCCTTTTCACAGGCTGACAAGCTTTGTGACAGGCCACTCCAAGAGATGACTTTTAGGAGGTAGAATCCCATACACAATCAAAATGATAACATCCTAATAGTGTCTGGATAAAATGTGTTAATACAACACAGCAAATTACTTTTTACTGGTTGATGGCATAGATATTGTACTGTATGAAATCAATGGATAATGATATTCTAGATGCTGTTATGGTCAGAGTATCTCACCAGAAGACCAGAAAACCAGCAATGAATAGAGCCCACGAAAGCAATCTGATCAGTCACACTATGCAGGATGGATCTAATAATATTGTGGTTCGAGTCTGTGCCAGACTATATGATGGCAATTTTTTTGTCATATTGGATTGCATGAAAAAAGCAAAGTTTTGTCTATAGTTAGCAATGTGCACTTTTAAAAAACTATATTTAGAAACAGCACATCAAATATATATACCAGCGTCATATCGACAAGTATGAAGCATGTGCATGGGCACAGTCTTTGCAATTTAGTGTAACTGTCAGATAGAGCTGGTTTTCAGACATGGACCGTACTACTAACATATCGAAATGTAAGAACTGAGGTCTAAATTTCAAACAAATTTCAGAGAATTTTTACACAAGATATTTTTGGTCACCGCAGCTCAAAATTTGTTGTATGATTTAGGCCCACCATTTTGGATTCATGGCCAAAGACATCTTTCCCCCATACCTGCCAACTTTTATCTGGGACAGTCCAGATGTTCATGGTATAGAAGGCTGTAAGTGTTGTGGTTGTAGCCAAACTCTGATATAGCATATTTCCCTGAGCCACAGAGCTCCATTGTTTTCCATAATTAAAATGTGTTTCTTCATTATGATGAACATGGCCACTGTAGTTTTTTTTTGATGAATCCTACTTACTGTACACTGTCTGTACTTTATAGTCATTATCAAATGTGTAATCAGCAGCTGAACGCAGTCCTCAACAAATGAACTGTTTATTACTGCTTGATTAACGTTTGCCCAAACACTACGGTGCCTAGCTGTTTCACCTAATAATTTAGGCTTGAAAGTGAAACTGTATGCTATAATTATTTGTTTCTGAGAGCTCCACACTGTGTAGGTTTTTTTTTTTAAGAATTGAAAACTGGACTAAGGCATTGTTGCTTTTTTCATGGGATTTATTCACATTAAGATAGATATAGAGTGTCATATGCTTTGTCCTTTACAATGTCTCATTCATGCAGTTATAAATAATATGACTATCCTTAAACAGATGAGAACGTTTACAATATTTGATGTGATGTCCGTGGTCACCACATGTATGCAGCTTGTGTAAAATAATATTTGCTCCTTACACAGGGCGTTATACTCATATCTTGATGGGGTTTATGTAATTACAGAGTAATTAGGATTGTCTTGCCAATTAACTGTACCGTGTTTGTCTTGTGTGTCCTGTGTGTAGCTGCTAGCTGTTTGCAGGAGGTTTGGGGGCCGGTTGGTTGGGCAGCACCTGAAGGACAGCCAATAGCATTGTTTGTGCAGAATACATCTGCCATGTCTGTTGCTTGTGTTTGAAGAGATGGAAAAATCAGGGGCCTGGGGATGAAGCGATTATGGAAAGCATTAGAAATGTTATAACATCCCAGAGCCAAAAACTACATCTCTTACTTGCCTTCATTTCAACAATAATGTTTATTTTTTTAGAGTATATCAGGAGATTTGATGATTCGTAACATCCAGCTGAGCCATGGAGGGAAGTATGTCTGTGTTATTGACACAGATGTGGAGAGCTTGTCCACCTCTGCCATCTTGGTTGTCAAAGGTAAGGGCACCAGTTGTATTCTAACACTTGTTTTTTACCCTACTAAATGAATGGTACATAGCATTTTTACCATAATGTGGCATAAAAGCATCTGTCCAAAGAAATTTGACAAAGAAAGATGTGAAAAATCCCTGAGACTTCCTCTAAAGTGCAGAAAAGCAAACATTACTACTGCTCCAGTAAGAGTTCTGTTAGATTCTGTTTACAATGTATGTGCTGCTGAAATGTAAAAATGGCACGCAGACACACACTCACTGGCACGTGTGACTCTGTGCCCAGCTGAGGCAGCTTCGTTGATATGTGCTCGGTGTATCTTGCACGTTGTACAGGCTTTTCTCTGCTGATTTACATTGGTATTCATGCCCTTAACAAACTGTAATAGCTGTCCCAGGTGCTTTGAGAAGGCAATGTTTATCGCAGAAATGACTATAATTGGTTCATTTACACATTGGCAAAATATCATGGAAAATATTTGAATAATGGAGCAGTAGAGCAAACGGCAGCAACATGGTAAAGCCAGAGCGTGTGACAGGCACAAACACTCGCCTCTTTCATTCTCTCTCTACTGACTCTTCTGTTATTTTTCTCACTGGTGTCTCCTCCCTCTTGCAGCCCTGCTTTCTTTTTCTAATAAATGATGCCATGCAGTTGGCACCTGCATGCACACACCACACCAGTAATTATAGGAAGTGTGGTAATCTTTGTGTGTAACAAGTTGCAGAAGACTTTATGAGTTGGATGAGGTGGCACTGCTTGCAATTTGTGGTAACCTCAGGTTTGCCCTCCCTGTTGTTTGACTGATTTAGGTCCACCAGGTCCTCCAGACAAGGTAGCAGTAGAGGAGATCACCGACAGCACGGCCCAGCTCTCCTGGACCCCTGGAAGGGACAACGGCAGCCCCATCACCGGCTACATCATCCAGGCCCGGACGGCCTTTACCGTAGGCTGGCAGGCTGCTGACACAGGTAGCCCCAAACACTCCCCCCGTCCTCCCTTTTGTGGTGCAGTAGTCTGATTTTGTAAGTGTCAAATTTCTACATTGCAGTGCCAGAAGTGGTCAATGGGAACATGCTGACTGCCACAGTGGTGGGGCTAAACGCCTGGGTGGAGTATGAGTTCAGGGTGGTAGCCCGCAATATCGTGGGCCTGGGAGAGCCTAGCCCACCATCAGCCAAGACCAGGACAGAGGATGCCAGTATGTAAATTTAAACACTGAACTGCATGCACCAAAAGCATAGACAATAAGATGGACATTTGTTTGTGATTATAAAATTACTTCTCAAGTTTTCTGGGGTTTCTCAACATAAATTAAATGAGATTTTAATCATAGAAGAATGGATTATTCACCATAAAAACTATGTTGATTCTAATTTTATTATGCTTTGCATTCATAGTAATAATTCTATGTGATAGTAAGATGACAGTTCATTTACACTGCATTTGAGGTGGAAAAAATGACTGCCAATTACTGAATTACTCTGCTGAAAATATAAAATGTCACGACAGCTGTCCTGATGGGGTTAATGACTCATCCTGAGCACAACTGCTATGTTACAAATGATTACAATGCATACATTTGGTATTGTTGCATAATGGCTTACCTGTCTGGTGTTTAGAAAAACATTACACTATTACATAGTGACTGATCTTACGGTATTGTCATGAGACTGAAATAAATAAAGAGGTCCGAACCTGGGCCTTTTAATCTGTGCATAACATGCTCACAGCATCTTTCTATGTGAAGATGCACACACGTTGTACTGGCTGTATAACAGCGACAGGTTTTTGATAAAGTCAGAGGAAAGCATGTAACATGCGCTTGTGGGTAATAAACCTGAACATTAGGATTAAGGTTTCTGCAGTAATTGCACTCAAAGTTGCATTTATTGTGGTGAGACGCCAAATCACTAAGAGAAGTGAAAGAGGATAAATTTAGCATGCGAAAGGTTTTATGATGGAGAGATTTGTGTGTCCATGCTTCTGCCAATTAAAGTGATTTGTACACTTTTTTGAATGCTAATAGACCAATGTCTTTGCTTAATTGTGAAGCAAAGACTGACATGCTGACATCCTGCTTGCAGACGTATTTTATGTCATATAAACAGCTACGTTTTGTACAGAAAAGTGGCTTTACCCTCACTTTTACTTGGCATCACATTTTCCTGGGCAGCATGACACAGAGCCTGAAACAATGGAATGATTCTGAGTAACATTTAGGAGCTATATTATCTTTATAATGGAATTTCAAGGTCAGAATATACAACTACCACAGAAATGTAACAATGTTAGTTAGGTTTGGTATGGTGTTTTTGCTTCATTATATAGTCTTCAGTTCACAAACACACAGGTGCACATATGCATGCTAAAAATCCAGGGTTCCTGTTGTTCCCAGGAAATGAAAGCAGATTATGGTGAGACTTTGTGGTAAATACCAGGATCTCCTTTGCTGGCCTTCAGCTGTAACAGACAACCATACATGAGTAGCAGACATAAAAACTACATCAACTATTAGCTGATATGACATATTAAATGTGATGCTCCATTTACTAAGGAATACTATAAGGTAGTGCATGAGTGCTCCTCCACCTACGCTATCAGCTTTGTCATCACACTGCAGTGCAGAAACAGCTGAGTGCAAATGCCATTTGCAAAATGTTACTGTACAAATCTAGGCTTGCAGTTTGTGCATGGTGACATTTGGGCAAAATCAGTAATTCGCTGCTCTCTGAAATGTTTGTGTTTGCACACAGTGAAGGATTTGTAGAGTGTAGACGGTATCTACAGCAGGCAGCCTTGTCATAAAGCTACAAGTACAGTTGAGGCTTGTCATTGGGCTTTGTAAAGTGTGTTCTAATTGCTCCCTTCTGGGCTTTACCTCTCAGTTCCTGATACAGCTCCCACTGATGTCGGGGGCGGAGGCGGCACAAGGTCTGAATTAGTGATAACATGGGAGGTAAGTTATCTGTCACATTTTAGTGTTCTCTCCATCGCCGAGTAATGGTTTTGCTTAATTGTGCAGAATTGAACGTAGCAATTTTACGACCCACATTACAGCAAGAGACCTCTCCTCCAGCTCAGCTTCCAAGTGTCATTTCTCCCTCCAAAGGCAGGGACAGAGGGCACTCTCTTTAAAGAGTTTTGCACTTTAGCCCCAATTACATACCCATGCAAGAGGAAAAGATAAAGTAAAAGGTGACTGTGGAGTGTTCTGGGTGGCAACGGCAAAGAAAAGGGGCTGTGATTAATCGCAGAAGCCCTTGTGGAGCTACAGCTCAGAGATGGGCCTGTCTGTTTCTTTGTCTGTATGTGTTTTAATATCACTATAGTTTTGTGTTTCGCTCCCAGCCTGTGCCAGAGGAACTGCAGAACGGAGAGGGCTTCGGCTACATCATTGCCTTCAGGCCTGTGGGCACGGTCACATGGACTCGAGCAGTTATCTCCACGCCGGGTGTGGCACGTTATGTCTTCCGCAACGACACCATCCCTCCCTTCTCGCCTTTTGACGTGAAAGTGGGGGCGTACAACAACAGAGGGGAGGGGCCCTTCAGCTCTATTGCCATGGTGTACTCAGCAGAGGAAGGTACGGGACAGACTTCACAGCCCAGCACCAGGGTGATGCTTAAATAAGCTATAATCTCTGTCCTTACGACTGTCACCTTGAATAGTAATGATGAAATGACTTTTTTCCCAGTGCTGTTAGTTCCTTCTCTTCTCAAGCTGGGAATGCCAACTTGATATTAGTTATCATGCTGGTAGATTACAGGAAATCCTAGCAGGCACTTACCACACTGTGTTGTCAGGGAGGTATCCTGTTAATTGAATTTGTTGGACAGATAGTCTTTTCCTATGTCAGTCACAGATCCCATTAAAAGAGAGAAAGGGAAATAGCTTTTCAGTCAAACTACAGGCCTGTTCTGTGCCTTTGCTCTTATTGCTATTAGTGAGTGTGATGGTTGATGAGTCTCTGGGATTCTCACTAGCGCTCTATTTCTGCAGTCCCCAGTGTGGCTCCTAAGAAGGTTAAGGCTAGAAGTGTGTCTGCAGCGCAAATTGAAGTGAACTGGGAAGCTCTCCCTGCCATCCCTGAAAGAGTGCTTGGATATGAGGTATGTTATGACTCAATAAAAAATTATTTTCCTCTTTTTCAAATAACATGATAATTGGAGCCTTTTCTCTGTGGCTTGTTTATCAGCACCTAACCATCCTTTCATTGTTCTGTAAATGAGTTTGTCTCTTTTTTAGCTCAAAATATTCTCCCATATCTTCTTGTATATCTCTGCAAAGACTTTGTTTTAAGAGTAATAATATCATGAAAAGACCTCAACACATTGGCACACCAACAGCAAACCCACAAGAGGAAAATAAAATCCCTCATTCCTCATGCCCTATTCAATCTGTCACCTCTGGCCTTCGGCACAAAGCTCTCTAGTTGCCATAGCACTGGCCACATTGTCCTTTTAGAACAGAGCTCATTTCTTCAAACGCCGTCCTGAAGTGGATTTAACTCTCACTGAATCTCAATGGGCCCCCGACAGATCCACAGCTGTGGACTGCACGTACAGATCTGTATAAAAGTGTCGGTGTCCTTCCACTTAAAAAGGGAAAAACTACAATTTTCTCTGAATTAAGTTAAAACTGCCAAAAATAACTGACATCCACTGTTTTCCATCCCACATTTAATAGAGCAGACATGTTGCTTTTGAGAATGGCATAGGCAAAAATGTTTCACACCACGCCCTTCTGAGGCAGTCACTGCAATCAAACATCTGTAGCTCTCACTGAGATTTGTGCACTTCTCAACTCTTCTTGAGCAAACAGCTCCAATTCTCTCAGCTTTGACGGGTGCCTTCTCCCACCAGCGAGTTTCAGCTCTTTCCATACATATTCCAACTCCGACTACTTCAGAGCGGTCCATTGTTTTCGTCTCATCAATTCTTGGTGCTGTTAGATGGATATTTCAGGTTATTATCCTGTTGGAGGAGCGAAGACCTGCAACGGAGACAAAGTTCTGACACTGGGCTCTCTGTTTCCTCTCCAGGATGCCTTTGGTAATCTTCTGATTTCATTGTGTCCTGCACAGATTCAAGGCTCCCTGTGCCAGACGCAGCAAAGTAACCCCATAACATAAGAGAGCCCTCTGAGCTTCACAGGGGGGATGATAATGTTTTCTCTTGGAAAGCTTCATTTGTCTTCTCTGGTCTTCTGTGACCACAGAGCTGCTGTGACTTACCAACAACTTCTCAGTTTGTTTATCTATCCAAAGGACATTCTCCCAGATGGGTTTTTTTTTTCAAATCATTTTCAACTATTTGTAAGATTCACTTGTAATGTTCTGTTTCTTTAGACAAAAGTGAGCTCTGAGCAAAACAGACAAAAATCAGGATTTTTTTTCTTCCTGGGTCACTTACACTATGACCCACTAATGCCTTGTTTATATGACCAGGGTGGCTGAGAGGATGTAGACCAGTAAAAAATGTATTATTCTTCATCACTCCCTCCCTTTCTGGGATGCAAACAGCATTTCACATTTCATGATGGAATATGAATTTCAATAATGCAGTCAAATATACCATTTGACTCAGGCTTCAGGTTTGTTCGCGTGATCATGATGGTTTTTCCTCTGCAACAGGTTGTGTACTGGGAAGACGACACCAAGCCTGACACTGTCGGCAAAGTGCGCATATCTGGAAACTACACACTGGTTAATATCACGGGGCTGAATGCAAACACAGTGTACTACCTCTCCGTGGCTGCTTTCAACACGGCTGGCCCCGGGCCGCAGTCTGCGCCCATCAACGCCACCACAAAGAAACCACGTGAGTCTGTCCCCGTGTGCATTGAAATCATTTCTAAATGCTCGTCATTCATGAATCATGTCAGACATCGCACTGTCCTCAACATGATAGGCATTTCATTTCTTCAGCTTTGTGGATTGTGCTCAGAAAATGTTATCTGACAAAAGAGCTTGTGATTTACATTTCACTTCATAAAGAAACAAAGAAAAGCTGAGCCAGTGGGGTGAGTCGAACATAGCCGCAGTGACAATTTAGATTTTTATAATGCACAAAAGCCAAACTAGACAATTGTGCTACACAAGGTAGACCCTTGAAATTAAACAATTTCAGCCTACAGACATTTAGAAATATGAGTATACTTGTATCCACAGCATGCTCATATTTCATGACACCAAAAGGATTACAGCTCATCGTCCTTTGGTTGGAGCTATGTTTCATTTCCTGTGGTTGGAGTTTGCCTGCAGCAACTGCTGCCATACAGTGCTTGAGGCTACAGTTTTATTTGGGAGAATTCTGTGGAGGCTCTGAAGTTCATCACAGCACATCTTAACTTCATCACATGCAGATAGGCAAAACACAAACAAATTAAGTAAGTATCATTACTAATTTGATAACAGGTGCAGCATTTAGAAAATGTGATGGATTTTTTTTTGTCTACTACAGTGTTTATTTGGTTGTGTTTGTTTTCTGTTTCTTTTAATCTGGTTGTGTTTTCTGTCTGTGCTGTGTGTTTCTGTTTTGATTATGTTTTCTGTTTTTGCAGTATCTTTCTGTATTTGAATGTGGTTTCTCCACACTAAATGCTGCACAAGCGCTGTCAAATTGATGATGTTTTCTTCATTTGCTTGTGTTTTGTTCAATTTCATGTGTTTTTTTAAGCTGTGTTGAGCGCTCACGGCTACTGTAGAATTCACTCTGTCTCAGTTAGCAGGGGTGTTCTGCTGCAGCCACAGTTTGTTATTCAGGCCCAGCATGATGAGAGGGTTTTATATCACAGTCTTTCCAATTGAAGCTATTGTATAAACCAGGAATGGTAAATTGCTGCTCTATACACATGCATGCTATTGCAAAAATAAATAGCAATCGGAAATGGCTATGCATGTCTTGTTGAATACATGTGCCTCTGAATGTTTTTCCAGCTCCAGATCGGGCTCCGCTCAATATACAATGGACCATGATTGGCTCCATTCTCACATTGCACTGGGATCCTGTATTAGCCACAGAGACAGAGTCAAAGGTCACTGGATACTTGGTAGGTCCCAGTTCACTGCAGAGCTCTGGTTTCTCTTCAGAATCAACGATGATTTTTGCATTAGCTCATTTTTCTCCATCGCCCTGTCCTGCTTCAGGTGCTGTTGAAGAGAAACCGCTACAATGACATCAGCACAATCTGGACTAACAAAACCACTGTGGAGCTCAACCTCTCAGCCAGTGACAACTATCTCATTCACATCAAGGCGATGAGTGAGGGCGGCGAAGGTGTGGGCAGCGAACCCATCCACATCCACAAATTAAGTGAGTTCTCTTTCCTTCCTCACTAGGTTCACTAGCTTTTTGACCACTGATAAAGCTTGAGTGAGAATTCAATAATTCAGAGAGAACGTTTAATTTGGCTTCATTGCATCCTTTTCCAACCATACGTAATAGACTTATATCGAGTGCAAGAAAAGCAACCTTTTTAAAGATGCGTGTGTGGTGTCATCCATCTCTGCCATTGGGTTATTATTCCTTGTTGACTGTGTGCACAGCGCTGCAGCATATAAAGCAGTCCTGTGCTTCCATCCTGTTGCTGTGCAAAATTGCTCAGTTTGCTGCTATCCTCTCTGATATGATAGGAACTTTATCTTCTGAAGCTACTTAAATAGCCTTTCCTATTGAAAGGCAGTAATAATGTAGATATGGAAAAAATTCACAGTTGGGTTTTGATTCATGATTATTTGTCAGAAATTTGGAGGGTAGCACAACAGGGTGCAGGTTTTCTTCTTTTGATTGGAGGGGTATTTCTGGTTCTTCACGAGCTGCTCTGCTGGTTTTGGTTGCAGGCATGGGAGCGCGGGGCTCAGGAGCAAGCTGCCTTAGCCCGTTGTACAACTTCACAGTCCTCATCAGCGTGCTGCTCTGCTCTGTCTGGTGATGCCTAATCAGATCCTACAGAGCACCCTCCCTCCCTGTCCATCTCTTCAGTAGGCCTGTCCTATTTTAACCCTCCACTGGACTGGCACAAAGCCCGGGTTTCAGTGGCAGGACTGAGACCGGAAAGGACTGGACTGCACTGACCTTAAAGGGACCACACCACTTGTTTTAAAGGACCATCAGATAGAGACATGATGATTTATATGCATGATATCTTTGGGTATTTTTTCCACCATCATAAGTGCCACCATGCTTCAGCTTCATTTTTAAGTTGTCATGTCTACATGACTTATCTTCTTAGTATCTTTGGAGATACTAATGCCTTAAACCCCATTTTACACTTACAGTCCATACCAAAGTAGGTGACAGAGGCTGCTTGCTTTATGGTTTCTTTAACCTTATTAAGAAAATGTTTTGTACTCACAAGAATTTGTCTTTGCAAAATCAACAGAAACATTAACCTGTATATTCATTGGATGTATCCATATTTTCAGTATCTCAAAATGTAACCTTATAGGTTCAGGTAAACAAATTCTATATAAAATCAGCTAAACAATAAATAATAACCAGGCCTATACAGATTTATTGAAGCTTTTGCCAAAAGAAACATCCATTGTAGACTTAAACGTTTTACCAGGCTTTGCAAATATATGAACGATGCAGAGCAAATTGATCAACTATGCCTCAAAACCACTTATCTCTGCAGAATGAAATAATATTAAGTCTGTTTGAGAGCCACAGGCTCCGAAGCTTTAGGCTGCTCTACAGTACTCTGATAGATCTTGGCATTTTGCTCTCTATCTTATGCTCCTCTAAATAATGAATGACTATCAAACTCTACACTCTCACTCTAGAGAAAAAGCCGGAAATGCAGAGAATAGAGCTGTGTTGTGTTATTGTGTCAAGCAGATCCCATGTGTACTGTTCTTCCTCTACATTTAGATGACCTGTGTTCTAGATACGTATATCACATCACATAACATGTACCATCTACACCCCAAATGACCAGCTGGCTCAGTACGCAGTGGACTATAGGATAACAGTGCCTTCACTTGAGCTCAGTTTGATTTTTTTCTGTCTTTCCTTTTCAAATACCTTTGAAGAAAGGTTCATGTTGCCGAAGAGACATTGCTTGATTTTCTTTCTGTAGAAGTGAATTGCGAAGGACAGGAGAGCCAGATTGTAGAGTGAGCCCATTATTGGAAAAGGTATGCTGATTAAATTTTTAGTGAGACAAGTACACCAGAGCAGCTAAGACAAAAAGGGTTGGAAACTTTAGGAAATCCACAATGGATTAAAATATATGGTGAAATGTTTGCTCCCAGTATTTATGGTTTGTGGAATAATAACTGTATGACTCCATCCATAATCTATGAGCTATTAAGGCACCAGAATAATTGATACCAATACCACTGTGAAGGAACCATGACTGGAAGTGGAGTGAAAGGCACGGCTCTCATTTTATCACACCCCATCTCTGTCTTTTGGACACATACCAGACTGAACACTAGCAAGACAAGATGGCTACTCTGCCATGCTAACTACTTTTACTATAAAATACCTGCTTTTACTATGTGGATGAGTCTGTCAAAAGCCACCCAAGTAAGAGCCAAGGTGTGATTACTGGGGTCCTGACAATGTTCGTGTGGATGTGGAAGGATACAGTCAACTGAACTGCTACACATTACTGTGCCTTTGCTGAACATGGGGCTGTGGACGGTCATTAGTTCAGAGGCTGTCATCGTCTGTATGTTACACTCTCTATTCCCCACCCCACCACAAAGTCAAATGAAAGCACAAGGAACTGATGCAAGGTGACTGGATGTCCTCACTTAGCTGTCTGAACAGGTGTGCAGACCCCAGAGGCCTCGTAAAAAGTCCAAACAGCCGACATAATCAGGCTGTCCTATCTGCTCCTTGACTGGTTTCATAAAGCTCTGGGCTCGTTGATTAGACTGCTGCAGAGCAGTCAATGGGATATTGATTTTCCTGTCCAATTATTACAGCTGTCACATTTCAGCTGTTTGATTGACTGATGGCCACGTTCTTATTGCACTTGTTCTGTTGTGTTACACTCAGTGATGTTTCAAATGCCCTCTACTGCTTCAACCCCTATTAGACAGCTTCAAAGATATTCTTTTTTTGTTGTGTTTTGGATGGTTTTGCAAGAGATCTAAGTGTATTTGCTCAATTTTTCACAGATTTTTGTAGTGTAGTGGTAGATTGTGACTTTGAATTGGAGCAGTGACCTGACATTTATTGCCTGGTTTATTCTTTTGAGTTATATGTCATACACAACCCCTGTTGGGCTGTCGTGCAGTACTGTATCTTTCCTTCCAGCCACCTAAAAACCCAGTCACACCAGGATTTAAAACATTGAAATTTCATGGCATAATTGTGGGTAGATGCAATTGGCAATCGTCTACTTTGATTACTTTTTTGTGCCGTTGACCTGTCATTAAACTGTCATGACATTGCTTACCTTTAAGAAAACAGTCAGAGAGTACCAAATGGCAGGAGCTATTGTAGCTTACTAGCTGTATTGCTCCATCTACTTTTACCATATTTTCTGTGAAAGTATAGAATACTCCACAACAGAGGCATAGTCCTTTAGCATGTTAGGAACTGGGCTTTAGTGGTACAAATTTCTTAAAGAATCTCTGTGAACTTCATGTCCCTTTATATATAAGTGAGACAGTTAGCTTACTAACTGACAGTTTGCAAACTCTTTAGCTTTGAGTGTCTTTTGCAATCTGTGAACAAAATACCAGGGGCGAAGTTAATGGTACAGCACAGAGAAAATAAAAGGAAGCTCAGACACCCACTGTGAACTAGTATGTTCCCAGCTGTACAGTGTATTTAGCCATTAGCACAACAGCCACAGTTGTTCACAAATTAGACCACCAAGCCTTTAATAACTTCCGTTTCACAAAGACAGATGAATTTTACTGTGCCACTTCTGGTGTGACGGGGCCTGAACGCAGCTTGTGTGTGCAAATACTTGATCCAAGTGGTGTTAATATTTCATTTAATATCAAAATAAGGTGATCTTATAAGTAAATGGCAGGTTATTGATTTACATTGCTTAAATATGTGGCAGTTTTTCAAAGGTTAGCCTGTTTCTTAAGTCTGCTCATGCTCATAAGAAAACTATTGTTTATGGCCTTGTGCTTTAATAAGTGCTACAAAGAACAATCGAAAGAAAGTAAAGGAAGTGATCAGAGCCACCAGCTGGAATGGTTGAAATGCATTTATCACAGAACAACATAGGTTATCTCTTTATATCCACGAACCTGGTTCAGTTAGATTGGTTTCTGTGGTTAACGTTGCTAGAAAGGAGTGTTCCTGGTGTAGTGTAAATAGCTTGCATATATTTTTTAAACATGGCCATCAAAGACAACTTTATTGCTTTTATATAGTGTGTTCTCCAACCTTAATACTGGTGTATTAATCAATGATCTCTGTGAGATACTGACATGTAGAATTACATTTTCATATTGAAAAGTAACTGTTTTGTCTTGTATACTAAAATTGTGCATGTTAATCATTGTTTGTGAATTTGTGTTGGAGTTTTCTTTTTTAAAACTATAACTTAATAAAAATGTTTATTCCAGCCAGTGGTCCATTCAAATGCTTCTGCCAAACTGATCAACACATAGCTTTCTTTCTATTTAGAAATCCAGGTCTTAATAGCTCTAATTTCTGTAGCCTCAAGTCTCAACAGATCTGGTTATTTTATTGCAAATTGATGTGGATAATATGCACCTTGAAAGTACAAGCAGCTAATGCAGTTTGCATTACAGTTTTTTTTCAGTTGCTAATATAGTTTTAACAGCAGAACTCATTTTCTCAAAACACTTAACAGTTCATAGGACCACACATCCAAAGTGCAAAACACCTCACACACCCTGCAAAATGAAGCACCAAACCACACACAAAACTACAAAAACACTTATCAAAATCAAACATTTGCACCAAATGTTAAACACTTCTTTCACATTAACTGACTTTCTTTTCAGGAAACAACACACTGCTGTGCTAAATTCAAGGCCCATTTTTCTTTGGTGGCCTTTTACTTTAAAAAGGACTCTGTAGATCTGTTCAGCCAGGTGCTGTAGTGTGTTAATATACACGCCCACCAGAATGAACGATTGAGAAAATATTCTCAGAGACTAAAGTAGTTTGCAGATGATAAAAAGAGTCTCTGAGTTCATGTCCCAAGTTCTTTCTAACACTGTGACATCTTTACACCAGACTTCATTTATATAGAAGCAGATTCTGCATCCTCTTCTTTTCCCGGACAGCTCTGTTACGCAATCTGCTCTGTATACCTGGAAACCCACTATTTGTATCTGTCTGAGATGGAGCTTCTGAGCCAAGTCTCCATGAAGCATAGAACAGCAGAGTGTGAGAAGTCAGAGTTAGTCCGGTTAACGAGAAGGAGTTCATCCATTTTGTTGCCTAGAGAGTGGAGATTGGCTAGATGGATAAACCATTTTGGAAAGAGATAAAACATGCAACGATGCAATGTTTGCTTTTGCTAGAGATCTGTAGAATTTAGCATTTTGTGTTTATGGTTTTGGGAAACTGAATCGATGATTCTGTAATTATGTATAAATAATAATGAAAAACTGTAACAATTAAGCAATAAGGTGTTTTGCCAGTTGGCACAACACACATACACACACACACACACACACACACTCATCTTAAGTCCTTGGGCCAAATGTCAGAATTAAGTTTTGAGAGTTGTATCATTTTATTTACATTGGTATTAGAAGTTTAATTGTTTTTAATGAAAATGAACAAAAACTGACTGACAGACCAAAAACCCCGGGGGCAGAAAGTATTGTTCATGCTGGGAGAACTGGTTTGCTTCTGAGTCTGTGGACAAATGATGAAGCTGCTGAGTTTGCAATGTGGATTTTATTTAATCAGAATTTGCAGACAACAGGGTGCATATGGTGCTGTGCACACTGCACAGAGATGAAATGGAGATTGGGGCCTGAACAGGGTCCCAACAGCAAGCATTTCCCTTGGGCCTCCTAAGAGATTAATCCAACCATGCTGAACAATTTTTTTTTAAATAATTATCACAATATTACAAATGGTATATTTTCCAATAGCATCATGTTTTAAGGTGGTCTGTGTATACATTTCATATAAAATAATCAAGCTGTTGTACAAACCAAATGAATTGTCATTCAGTTTAACAAAGATAAAAAAAACTGTTTGTTTGGAGTTATTTAACTGGTTGCCAATTATACAGAAATAATTAAATTGTAAGATAATTCTTTGATTTGATTTTGATTTGATTTATTCTTTCAAGCATGTAAAGACAGTTGATATGTCAACACACATAATTTTACACATATCCAACAAATGCTAATCCAATATAAATTTGCTTATACCTAGTACATGCTTGAATGGAGTAGGAAGAAGTCAGACTTATCCAGTCCTACCCCATGACATCATGGGGTAGGACTGTTGTTTGGAGTTATTTAACTGGTTGCCAATTATACAGAAATAATTAAATTGTAAGATAATTCTTCATCAAGATGATATGAACATTTTACTCCAAAAAGATAAATGGTATTATCATGATGTGAAATAAAGCTAGGTTGATTTTTGAAGTCAGCCCAAAGACTTAGACCAGATCAAGTCTAGAAAGTTACTTTCGGCTTTTCCTGTTTAGGGGTCGCCACAGCAAATCATCATACTGACAACTCGCATGTTGACATTTGGCATGTATTCTACGCCTGATGCCCTTCCGGACACAACCTGAATTCGAACCCGGGGGGCACCACGATGAGAGCACTGCGCCTTAACCATTAGCCTACCAGGGGCATAAGATCTAAAGGGCATTAATACTGAAACCAAGACTAAATTTGATGTAAATTTGTAAATCTACAAGTGATCAATGGATTTCTTAAACATAAATGAAGATACCCCTAAGCATCCTAATATGTATAGAAACTAGCCTGACAACATACAAGTTTTTTACAGGTCAGATACATGATAATATTTGTGATTGTAGGTAGAAATTGCACCTAACTTCAGTACTATGTCCCATTATATGAACTACATACAGTACTACATTTTAAAGTATTAGAAGACCAGATCTATAAACTTTGCTATGAAATAATTCATAGTAATCAACTGGCAGAAATTATATTAAATATCAAGTGAAATCAGATGATTAATTGAGATGTATTAACTAACTCTATTGAATTTGTGACATCACAGCAATGCTTCATTGAATTAAAGATGCCTCATTCCCTAATCTGAAACAAGAATTGCAGAAAGTCTCTGCTTGTGGGATTCACACATGAGTGGCAACCATGCCTTTTAAGTCAGTGAGATCTAAACAGAATTATTTTATGGCACAGTAGTTTGTAGAGCAAAGGAGTGTTTCAGAATATAATCACCTGATTCATCAAATCACAGCTTTGCACTGCTTTCTCCACTGTGCATTTTCCCCACCATTAGCCCCACACAGCTATCTATGAAGCATAGATGTTTCTGTATATATGACCAGGGGATGTCTTTAGATAATACATAAGGAATGTGATATGAACTCCTGCTTAGGTAATACAAAAAGTTGCTCATCTGCTTTCACTCTTTGTCTACCTCTTTGTTGGTTTTTACAATATCTTTGAAGATATTGTAATTTTGTAATTTATTATGCATGCAAATGATTACCAGTGGAAGTCCTGTTGTAATGAGAAATATATGAAAGCTTCTTTTTGTAGAGCACCACCGTTCATGCTCTCCTGGTCTAGTCTAGTTTTTCAAAGTGGCATTTCCTTCAGCTGAAGAAATTATTTTTAAAATAAATACTCAAGTGAAAGAATTTCAAAATTAAATTAAAACTTCCTCTGCAGTAGTAGGGTAGCCCTAATCAATGCACTGAAAGTTGTTTGCAGAGTACATTTATCACAGAGGAGGTGTGCATGAAGAACTCTGGACATTTTGAACAGACTGATGCTGCTATGATATTTAAATCAAATCAAATTTTATTTGTATAGCATCAAATCACAACAAAAGTCAACTCAGGACACTAAGTAACCTTACTGTTATTACTATTATTACAGAGGGAAAACCCAACAAATCCCTCTTGAGCAGCACTTGGTGACAGTGGGGAGGAAAAACTCCCTTTAACGGAAGAAACCTCCGACAGACCCCAGCTCTTGGTGGGCAGCCTTCTGCCTCGACTGATTGGGGTGAGTGGATAGAGGAGAGACAAAAGAAGAAAAGTAACAAGACACAACAAACAATCAATCACTGGGCAGGTTGATGTGGCTGGTGACTGCTCGTCAGAAACATGGAGCTCCAGAGCCAGGGCTACCTGTAGAAAGGTACAGGGAGAGAGAGAGGACACACTAAAGCAGTTCTAGAGACTTGGTTTATTTGTGATTTAAAGGATATATCCTGGTCAAAAATGACTCCAAGGTTCCTCACAGTAGTACTGGAGGCAAGAGCTATGTCATCTAAAGCAACTATATGATTACACAGCAGATTTCTAAGGTTTTCAGGCTCAAGCACAATGACAGTTTTGTCAGAGTTTATAAGTAAGAAATTACAAGTCATCCAGGCCTTTATGTCTTTAAGACATGCTTGAGTATCATTTGCAGAGCAATGGAAATTTATGCTGTGCTTCCTGATAATATTGCCTAAAGGGAGCATGTATAAAGTGAAGAGAATTGGACCTAACACGGAGCCCTGTGGAACGCCGTGACTAACTTCAGTCTGTGCAGAAGATGTTAGAGTTGCTCACAGAAGTGAGTAGATAAACCAGACTCAGGAGTCAGCACTCTCAGTTCAAGGCAAGGGATTTATTAGATTCGTAGCTAGTGAGCAGGATAGTTCAGACCCTCGAGGTTGGCGAGAAGCAGTAAGTGGGGACTTGTCTGTTCACAGGAGGCATAGAGCAGTCGGTGAGTAGCAGTGATGAGAGGAGGAGGATGTGGCAGGTTGAAGTCTCGGGTCTTAACAGCAGGACGGGTAAGAGCGGCATGGTGTAGCTTGAAAGAGGTAGTCTGAGGCAGCAGGTTCTGATAACAGGAAGGACAGGAACAGAGTGAGTGCAACCGAGGGATGGCAGACTGACTGACCTGAGAGTTGAGGAGCAGTGTGCCGGTCCTGGGAGACGAGGAGGAGGTAACAGGTAAATAGAGGAGACTCAGGGACGGGTGGTCAGAGATCTTTGTAGAAGCAGAATGGGTGTCAGTACTAGGAGATGAAGTGTTGTGGCAGAAGTCTGTAACGAACTGGCACTGTGGAAGTCTCTTCCCAGCCTTTAAGTAAGAGGTGGCTGATGGGCAAATGATCGCAGTTGTGGAATTCAGTACAGGTATGTGCCATGCCTGAGACAGATTACCTGCAAAAAGAAGAGGGAGAGAGAGAGAGAGAGGGAGAGAGGGACAAGCCTGACAGAAGATTCATCATTAACATGAACAAATTGAAATCTTTCTGACAGGTAAGATTTGAACCAGCTTAGTGCAGTTCCTTTAATCCCAATAACATGTTCAAGTCTCTGTAGTAAAATGCTGGTTTAATTGTG